TTTGTGTTTATACCACCAAGGACACCTCTAATAACATACCTAGGAATTACTGCTATTTATCAGATAATACTATATTATTGGCATATTAACTTATATCTAGTAGTGGAGTTTTGCTTTAAATAATGATTATAAGCATGGCTAAAGGGGCAACAGAGGGGCAAATAAATACTAATATATACTACTGTTCCTCACTTAATATACCAACCAAAAAACCATTACAATAAAACACTTTCAATGGTCTAGTTATAGCTATGTTAAATAAAAAGATTGTTGTGCCATGATCCAAGAGTAAAAAGTCAAAGCCAAAAAGGGTCTACTATTATGATAAATATTTCTACATGAAAATTTTTACTGCAGATTCAACACAGTTAAACATTGCAACAGTTTTTTTGGGTCACTGTATAACTACTATAGCATTCATGGCAGCCATAAAAGCAACTACAGCACCTTGATAGATATTCTAGAAGCTATAGTTGCTATAAGGCCAATTATAGCACTCTATAGCCCTTTATAGTACATCTGATTCTTCTAAACAAACCCAGTAGAGTATCACAACACAATGGGATCCGCACCCGTGTACAGTGATTCTGGACCTTCTGGGCATGCAACCAATCAGTATGCTTTCCAAGTATGCCTTGGTAGCTTAGTTGGTAAAGCACCAGACCATGAAAGCTGGAGTCCCAGGTTCAAGCCCTGGCCAATGCATATTTTCTCATACTATAAACAAATGTCATATTTTGTCATAGAGATTATACTATGTTGTTAAGTTGTGTGGTTTTTATCCCCAAGATATTTTATCCAAGAATAAGTTATGGCAATGTGTGACAAATATGATAAGTCCATGGAAGGTCAATATAATACATATCTATAAGATGTTTTATAAGCTTTCATAGTGTAGTGGGTAAGTGTGTGTTATTTGTGGAAAGCTCAAAACAGAATAACCACCATACCAAACAAATTACAGTAATAGGTTTGCTTGCATATCTCACCAATTGGGTAGCCACTTCTCACACCTGACCGTGTGATGTGAGATAACTGTCACATTAAATTTTTTTACACAGAGTTGAACATGTGGGAAATTAGGTCCATATTGGGATAACTCCACACAACACTTGATCACCTTTTCTTTTCTCTTTCCTTTACTCCATCAGTTGTCTGGCCAGCAGTACATACTGCTGGCTGGAACCATCAATGTCTTGTCTGGTTAGCGGTACATACTATTGATCCATATATTCTGCATTGAACACAAAGTTACATTATATAAGGACCCAAGTCTTTGGCCAATTTGCTCGCACTTGATTGAGTGATGATATCTACATTCCGTGTTGACAACTGCCTCTCATATTTTGTTCCTAAGTGATCAAAGATACCTCTATACTGGTTACCATATTTGGTAGCTACTCGTGAGTGCACCAAGTTGACAGTACACTCAACAATTCAATGTCACGGTCCAGCATACTCTGCCAGTCAAAATACAACATTTTGATTATGTCCAACCCAGTCCCATCTATCCACCTTCACTGTAGTCCCCTCCTTCCCATCCTCCTCATCCCATCCTGCCTCAGTCAATGTACAATATCCGGTATAACAAGAAAAGGCAGATTAACAAGAGATGACATTCTCACTCAACACTTGCAAAATCCCACTATTCAGCAGGCCTTTCAAGCCAATTTGGAAAACACAGCACATTTCAGACATCTTGTAGCACCCATCATCAAAGGCCACAAACACATCCAGCATTTCTGGTCAGAGTGTGTAGAATATTACCAGCTTGATTTATCACCCAAAAAACTGTGATTGACCCTTCCATCTGCTTGGCAGGTTAAATCATTCATACAGTTTCAAGTTATTGCCTTATGCATAAAACCAATGATAGGAGAATTTGCATCCCTAATAACAATGAAGACCTACACTTGGATATTCCTCACACTCTGGCCAAGATACGCCAAGATTGCTTTCCCAAAGCAACTGCATGACAACATGACCTTGTATATGCTTTCTGACAAATTCAGGGATTTTGCACCACATATGATGGCTATTAGGCCAAAATGTGCCACAAGCATGACAGATGTTAACCTTCTCATATGGGCCATATAAGAACACACGATGTACTTTCACACCAAATATATGTGCATACAAGTCATTTATACATTTATACATGTCTGCTATCTGCCATCTCCACAGAATAACCAGGAGCCATAGTCAAATCCTTGTGCTATTGACACACTAACCAAACCATCATCTAATCTGACCACTGATTCCTTGTGTACCCCAAAGATGGCACAATTGAGGTGGCCATCAATATTCTGTTTCACAACCTCAAGGGCCATCGAGATGATGACTCTTTTATCAAGTCAATCATCATATACCCAATATCAGTATCAACACAGTTCCCTTTTTATCAGTCAGACATTCTAAAAAATATGTGTCCATAAAAATGATTCAAAAATAAAAAATAATTGCACTGTGAATGAATGTCCTACTAAAAAAAAGAAACTGGAGCCACCAGTCCACCATCTAGTCCAAATCCGATAGTTCCATGGCCTTACCAATGGTCTGGTTGTAGTGAACCACCTGGTCAAACAAGGGAGGGAGAAAAGTAGTTCTAATCTGGAACTGGTGTGTCCCAGGCAGTGTGTAATAATTGTAGCTATAGTGAAGACAATGAATGAAGGATAAGTGTACCCAAGTGAATGGGACAGCAATGCACATGGGCAATGCAAGAGGATGGACCTTTTCCAGCTCAAAACCTACCCAGCCATATTCCAGTCAGGAAAGATAAGTGACCAATGATTTAATAGATGGCAGATTGATGTTATGAAGGTGGACCAGCTGCCTTATTTGGACTGGCTGCTGGGGCTTTGCTGATATTAGCAGTGGCACGTGGTGGTCAACAGATCAGCGATGGAAGCAGATGGAGAGCGGTGACATCAAGTGTGGTGGAGGAGCAAGGAAGACGAGTAGGAGGAGGGTGGAGGTGACAAAAAAGTGGACTAGAATAGGAAGCCAGAAACAACCATCTGGTGAGAATAAAAAGGACAGTAAAGGGCCCATGGTGGGGCTAGGCAAAGGGAGGGGAGTAAGGGAGGCAACAAAAACAAGGGTGCAATGCAATGTGTAGCCAGTGGTGATGCAAAAATTTGCCAAAATGCCAAAACGTGGAAAGTACCAAATGGAAAGTAAAGGTGAGCGCAACTTGATTACCTAATAGAGGTGGTGCTGATCAGCCACAAGTTTGAAAAGGGCAATATTAATTACTATTCTACGTGGCACTGTGCCTGTGTGGTGCAAAGGCGAGTCTTTTGAATATTTACTTCATTACCGACACCTGTCCATGCATCACAACCATAAATGAAATTCTATACCCCAAGCATTACTTATCTACCAGTCGTGTCCTAAAAATCAAGGACTCTATGCACAATATTCCCATGTTACAAAATGAGTGTTATTCATTGACTGGGTGGTCAATATCTGATTCACTGGCTCTGCCTGATTTATCAGCCCAAAAGCAGACCACCAAGTTTAGAGCTTGAACCTTAGGAGTGACATTTTTTTTATCAGTCATACAGTACAACTCTTATAGCTCATATAGCAAGCTGACCACTATATGAGCTCCTTGGGCCTATAGGGTGCTATAAATGCTTCTATATATGATATGGAAGCTATGAAAGCTATAGGAGCAACCATAGTGTTATATAGAATTATATAACACAAGCATCTTTCATCCTTCCCCCTACACTTATTACAAATAGTCAACATTAACGACAATATCAATGTAAATTGTGCAAGAATTGAACCCACAACCATATAAACCACTTTTTTGAGCTTATTAAGCATATGCATACCAGAGCACCTATCCACTACACCATGTAAGCTTATAAAATATAACATATAATATAGTATATATAACCACTTTTGGGGCTTAGTGTCACGATCCCAAACTCCACAACCTAACCTTTCATCTTATCTATCCAACTCTGATGTAGAAACACTGATATCACCATATCTAATCACATAGTAGTACTTATCTTATCTTGTCATGTGACCCTCAGTCACATGACTACCTTACCCATCATACATGCCAGATCCTCATGTTTCTCAGTCAGTGCCTCAAGGCTGACACGTTATTTTACATATATAAGTAGCTAGTTTTCACTGTACATGCTTCAGCTTTTGATTTCCTCTTAATAAACTAGTTCAACTACCTGCTGTAGATTCAACATCTTTCACTTTGTTAGCTCAGTATAAGTGAAGGCGTTATATAATTGAAAGCTGGTATAGCACTTAGTTGGATGAATCAAATAGAGGCTACCATCATCATAATCCTAATTCCCATCACAACAATCCTATTCTTCCTTTTACTCAAACTTGACTTTTTCCTCACCACACCATCCTCATCTATTACATCACCTACCCCCCGACCATCTACCATCCTCACTTTTATCCAATCTACACCATCCAACTCCTCTTTGGAAACCATTCCACTTTCCCCCATCACTTGCCCTACCAATCCCGTACTTAGAGACCAAAACAACGTGGAGTTGTTGAGGTTTTATTAGCTACAACTTTTTACCTACATTTACCTTTCGCTTTCCTCTGACCAGGCCGCGCACTTGCGTACACCAGTCGGGAGAAGAACCAACAGCCTAATAAGCGGGTTAATCTGAGACAACCGTTTGGACCTCAGACTTCATACAATACTTTTTAGTTACCTTTTATTAAGAATAGTTTTACATACACGGTAGTAGGGAACAGAAGAGGATCCCTTTACCTAAAGAGAAGACAGAGAAAGGGAACTTACAAAATTGATGTGTCGATCCAAATTTGTCATTTGGGGAACCATTTTTGTATGCCCTTTGCCAAAGAACCATGCAGTATCTGGTCGTTCCTTGATTTCACCCCTGAACCAAAATAAGAAACACCAGAACCACAACCCCTATTCCCACAACCACCAACCAACAAAGATGTCTTTCAATGCATAGAGAGAGATGAACCCAGACATGTTACTCCCATCAACACCAGGATTGGGGATGAACGGATTAGGAGAGGCCCTACCGCCTACTCCACAAAGGGAACCATCGCCCACACCAGAGTTGAGGTAAATGCAGAACCTAGAGATGATGGTCCGGATGGCAGTGAACGCCGCAATCCAGGACAACAATGCCGAGTGGGAAAGGCGATTCCTACAAAGAGATGCAGAAGTTGCCGGCTTGCGAAGAAGGCTCGCAATGCAGCCATCACAGCAGCAGACGGTGTCATGCACCAAAGTTGATTGGTAGCATGGACAGGTGTCAATAATGAAGCGGATATTCAAAAAGACTCACCTTTGCGCCACACAGGCACAGTTCCACGTGGAATAGTAATTAATATTGCCTTTTTCGAACTTGTGGCTGATCAGCACCACCTCTATTAGGCAATCCAGTCACGCTCACCTTTGCTTTTCCATCCGGTACTTTCCGCGTTTCGGCATTTCGGCAAATTTTCGCGTCGCCACTGGCTACACATTGCATTGCACCCTCGCTTTTGTCGTTTCCCTTACTCCCCTTCCTTTGCCTAGCCCCACCATGGGCCCCTTCCTCTCCTTTTTATTCTCACCTGATGGTCGTTTCTGGATCCCCATTCTAATCCACTTTTTCGTCACCTCCACCCTCCTCCTCCTCATCTTATTTGCACCCCCACCATTTCTGATGTCACCACTTCCTATCCGCTTCCGTCGCTGATCCGTTGACTACCACGTGCCACTGCTGATATCAACAAAGCCCTGGCGGCCGGTCCAAATAGGGCAGCAGGTCCATCTTCATGACGTCGATCTGCCATCATATACTATCAAAACATCGGTCGCTCATCTTGCCTGGTTGGAGCGTGGGTAGGTAGTTTTTGAGCTGGAGAAGGTTCATCCCCTTGCGTTGCCCATGTTCATCGCTGTCCCATTCACTTGGGTACACTTATCTTTTGTCCATCGTCTTCGCTACAGTTACACCTACCACACGCTGCCTGGGACTCACTTGTTCCAAATTGGAACTACTCCTCTCCCTCCCTCGTTTGATCAGGTGGTCCAACACAACCAGTCCATTGGTAAGGCCATGGAATTGTCGGATTTGGACTAGGTGGTGGACCGGTGGCTCCAGTTTCTTTTTCTTCAGCAGAACATTCATTTACAGTGCAATTGTTTTTGATTTTTGAATCATTTTTGTGGACACATATTTTTTAGAATGCCTGACTGACAATAAAGGAACTGTGTTGATACTGATAGTGTTTTGCCTTGCCCTTTTCTTTACTGCATCTTCCCATGACATCATGATTTTCCTGCTCTCTTTTTGCTATCGGACTTTACTTTATGGCCGTACAAACCTGTGACATTACTCACAACATTCATTGTTCTATCCCTTGCTTTTCTTTTTTTGACAATCTTATCCTGTACTACCTACGCAGGATTCGTCAGTGTATATTCCTTCCTTCATGTTCTTTCTCATTCTTTTTGCACAGCTATACTGTGCATAGCCTACCTTTCTTTTACTATATAAACCCCTGTATTTTACCTTGTAAAAAAACAATAAGAACTCCAATCCAGACTTCTTCTCTAATCTCAAGTTCACTACTCACTGCTACTTGTGATCCAGTGTGGTCACAACACTTCCCACTGCTACCACTGTTAATTGCTGTCATCGTCACTTCCCACTTTTGAAGTCATTGTTATCCCTTTCGATTAGAGTCCTTCTGAGCACTACAGTTTGTGCGTCAGGAGCCTTCTATCACTGGGAACCTTGTCACCTCGTCATCCTTGTTGTTCTCAAACCTACCTTGTGCTACAATTAGCAAGGTAGTGCTGGTCTATACTCGTCACTAAGCCCCTATCTTCTATCAATTCAACTATCCCTCCTCCTCAAAACCCACACTCATACATTTCTGGGTTTGACTTTGAAGAATTGTCATACATACCACCCCACGAACAACCAGAGCACCCACTGTTTTAGGAGGCAAAGCCCATAAACAAGTTCTGTGGAATCTGGGAGGATTGTGTGTTAGTTTGTTTTTGTGTGTGGTTTTCTAACTGCAGTTCTCATCATCGACAATGGGCCGGCCTGTTGAACACAAAGCAAACTACAGAAAGACTGCATTGGCCAAGCCTGAGCTATATAACAGCAACAAAAAGAAGTTCCAGAACTTCTTTGAATCATTACAGCTCCACTTTGGAGCAAACCCCGAATACTTCCGGATAGAGGTGAACAAGATTAATTTTGCCCTATCCTATATGACAAGTGGAGCAGCAGCAGCACTACAAACAGAATGGGTTGAGAGAAAGATGCCAGCAGAGGAGCCGACAGATATTGAGGAGATAGAACAGTTGGAAAGCTGGGCTCATTTTGAGTCCATGCTCAAAGACCACTTCCAAGGCATGTTCAAGGAGGAAAGAAGCAAGTACGAGATTATGTACTTGAAACAGGGTACCCTTACTACACAAGAGTACTTTGTAAAATTTGAAGCAACAAGAAGACGCGCAGGATACAATGTGAAAGGGAATGAACAATTCCTAATCACATTAATCAGAAACAACATAAATGCCCCCCTGATCAAACAGATCATCTACTCGGGAAATATTCCCAAAACTTACACTGAGTGGAAAACAAGGATCATTACAAATGATCAGCTGTGGTGGGATCAAGCGGAGAACGAGCGGATGATGAAAGGTATGGCCAACAGCAGCTCTGGTTCCGGAAACTGGGGACCCAATGGTTGGTACCAAGGAGAGGGCGCTTTGGAGAAGAAGGCCGAGATGTTGGAAGAGAAGAAAGACGGGACTGGAACCACCTATGGTGGAACCGGTCAAAGAATGGAAGTTGACAAGGCAAAGTACCGGGCAGAAGGCAGGTGCTTCAAGTGTGGAGAAAAGGGGCACAGGGCCCAGGATCACAAAGAAGGAGGCAGTGCAGCTGCAAAGCCGAAGTTCAACCTTTGCACCATGTTGGAAGGAATGAAGAAAGAAGAGCAAGATGAGCTCTTAAAGGATTTTTAAAGAGGCCGGCTGTGACTTTTCATCAGACCAAGCCCAAAGACATTTCAAATGTAAATAAATATGCTCCTCTCTCTGTTGACGATCTTGATGCATGTACCAATACCAATGAAAATGAAACTGCATTATTTAAAGGCGCACAAGATCTGAAACAAAAGAAAGAGCAAGTTCAAAGACGTGTTCAATGAAAAAGAATTTGATACCCTTCCAGAGAGAAGACAATGAGATCATGTGATAGAGTTGATTCCTGGAGATCACACGATAGACTGTAAAGTTTATCCATTAGCAAACGGAGAACAAGAACAGTTGGATGCATTTCTAAAAGAGAACCTAGAATCAGGACGCATCTGACCAAGTAAATCTCTAATTGCTTCACCATTCTTCTTCATTAAGAAAAAAGATGGAAAACTCTGACCTGTTCAAGATTACCGGAAATTAAATGAGATCACCATCAAGAATTGGTATCTGCTACCCCTGATTAATGAACTTGTAGACAAGCTCAGGGGAGCCAAATTCTTTACTAAACTGGATATCAGATGGGGATATAATAATATCCGGATCAAGGAAGGAGATGAACATAAGGCGGCATTCAGAACAAACAGAGGACTATTCAAACCATTAGTCATGTTCTTCGAGTTAACAAACTTGCCTGCAATGTTCAAAACTATGATAAACTCCATCTTCAAAGACTTGATAGAAGAAGGAAAGGTTGTGATCTATCTGGATGACATTATGATCTTTACCAAAACAATTGAAGAACACCAAGCAATGACGCGATGTGTTCTTCACATCCTGAGAAAGAACCATTTGTACTTAAAACTGGAAAAATGCGATTTTGAAGAGACCAAAACAGCATACCTGGGAAAACAAAATTTGCATGGATCCAGTGAAAGTCGAAGGAATCTTAGATTGGCCTAAATGCACAACCAAGAAGCAGGTGCAGGCCTTCCTAGGGTTCGTAAACTTTTACAGAAGGTTCGTTAAAGGATTTAGAGCAATCGCGAAACCACTTACCCAACTCACCGGTAAAGAAGAGTTTAAATGGGGAAATGAGCAAAAGGAAGTGTTTGAAGAGATAAAGAAAAGAATTAGCTCAACCCCAGTATTAGCTCTACCGACCAATGACGGTCAATACCGAGTCAAAGCAGACAGTAGCAAATATGCTCTAGGAGCAGTGCTCTCCCAAGAGCAAGAAGGAGTCTGGAAGCTAATAGCTTACTTGTCAAAATCTCTCAATGAGACAGAGAGAAACTATGAGATCTACGACAAGGAACTATTAGCTATCATGACAGCTTTAGAGGAATGGCGTCATTACTTGATGGATGCCGCAAAGGAGTTTGAGATTTGGACAGATCATCAAAATCTCACATACTTCAAGCAGCTTCAGAAGCTAAATAGAAGGCAAGCAAGATGGGTCAGCAAACTGGCTAACTACCACTTCACACTTCACCATAAACCAGGAGCAACCCACATCCAAGCAGACCTGCTATCTAGACGACCAGACCATGACAAGGGAGAAAATGATAACAAAAATGTTGTAGTTCACAAAGAAGATCTATTTAAGATCAATATGTCTCTACCGGGGAAGCAAAGACAAGAAATGGAAAAAATGTCTACCCAGTCTTTAATAAAAAGCTTCTACATCCTTATAAAGAACCAACATTCCCAGGACAGAAAAAACCAAAACCACCACCACCCGCAGAAGTAGATGGACAAAGAGAATATGAAGTAGAACAAATACTTGATTCACGATTGAAATGTGGCAAGTTAGAATATCTACTTCACTGGAAAGGCTATGGAAAGGAAGAGCAAACATGGGAACCCAAGGGTAATGTAAAAAAACTCTCCAGATTTAATCAAAGATTTCCATGATCACTTTCCTGCGGCCCCCAGATGAATCAATTTCACACTACATTTTCAACCCTTTGAAAATCTCACTCAACCATCACACAATCATAGACTATTCAACTGGGGAAAACGGCAAACTTGACCCTACCTTTTGGGATGAAAGTCCTAGGGGGGGGGTAATGTCACAATCCCAAACTCCACAACCTAACCTTTCATCTTATCTATCCAACTCTGATGTAGAAACACTGATATCACCATATCTAATCACATAGTAGTACTTATCTTATCTTGTCATGTGACCCTCAGTCACATGACTACCTTACCCATCATACATGCCAGATCCTCATGTTTCTCAGTCAGTGCCTCAAGGCTGACACGTTATTTTACATATATAAGTAGCTAGTTTTCACTGTACATGCTTCAGCTTTTGATTTCCTCTTAATAAACTAGTTCAACTACCTGCTGTAGATTCAACATCTTTCATTCTGTTAGCTCGGTATAAGTGAAGGCGTTATACTTAGTGAAATTTCTGATAAGTCATTGTTGTAATTTGAAGCTGCCTTGTATTTATGGACTTTGAAATAAGCAGCTAGCTGATGAAGTGTTTCTATAGCACACCTATACAATATTCTGGCAATTATTCTCATAATTATCTTAACTTTTTTTAAAAATGTTTTTGTCAAACATTTTGGCTACTTTCACAACTGTTGTGAGACTATGAGAGTGGTAATAGATAGAGTCCAGCTATATAGTGCTATAGGCAGCTATGAGAGAGACTATAAATATGGTACCTGGTAATCAGAAAACTAGTGACATTTTTGATGTTGGACTCACTTTTACTAAATAATTAAACTCAAATATATAATCCCTGAAGTATACAATAGATAATTGATATTGTATTATATTACTGAAATATAGCTACTATAGCTCAAAATCAACACTCATAGCTCATATAGCCTTACTACTACTACTGTAGCAATGTTTAAAGGCAAGATAAAACTATTATAGCCTATATAGTAACCTACCAGCTATATAACAATATGGTTTTTCCTGATGCACTGCAAATATGGGACATTTGTTCACAGAGTGGGCAATGATATAGATATCATCACTGGTGCAATTTTTGTCAACCATGTCACACATCTTAGCATATAGGGATCTGGTGCTAAGTGTTATGAACTGTGTTCTCTGTGGACTTTACTTTATTTTTAAGTAGCTATACACCGCTACTTACCTTTACTTTCCCACATACTGTTACCTATTATTATTTCACCTGTCAATGTTTGTTCAACACAAACACCTACCCTAAAGTAGACAAGTATATATATACACCTGTATTGTAGTTACCATATGATTGTACACTTCAACAGTGTAACTTGGTATTCATCAGCTTGAATCTTATTATCAGAATATACCTCAAACCTATTTATAAACGGGCTTATCAGAAACTACTTCACATCCAGAAACCCCTTGTGTTAACAGGCTTGCACATTCCAAGCGTAATAAAACAATTGTATTCCATATCTGTATCCCACACCTTATAGTGAAGGGACGAAAAAGACAACAAAATGTTGCAAGGAAGAAGGCCCACCACCAGGGCACAAACCAGAGCAGAACCAGCCCAGACAGCAACACCCCCAGTGTTGTCTAGACAAGGAAGGACAGCAGCACCACCTCCCTTTCCCCAACCCAATGTCACTTGACTCCACACCAGAGAACAAGCAGGCGGATTCTACAAAGCCAGAACATGTTGGCTACAGTACTACACAGAAAGCCACCCACAGCTAATACCCAGAACCCAACATAATCCCCCAGTAGTTGCATCAGACATCTACAACAAAAACAAATTTGAAGACTTCGCAGCAGAAGGTCAACCAATACCACCTCCCACACCACAGATACTTCCCACAGCACCCAATTCATTGCCAATTCCACCAACGCGCACCATATCCAATGCTGCAGCTACCAAAACTACCAAGTTTGGACAAATAGACAATTCTGATGGAATGCCCGATCAAGCCAACGAATGGATGTTATCAGCCAAAGCATATTTTGACGTAAATGACACCATCTATGACTCAGACAGAAAAAAGGTTTTTGAAGCACTTTCTCACATGAAAGAGGGGGCAGCCCTGGCATGGGAAGAAACCAAATTAACAGAATACATAGGATCAGCAAAATACCCAAAATGGACGGACTTTGAAACTGACTTTAATGGGACATTCATTATTGCGGATGTAAAAGGAGCGGCCAGCGCTGCCCTCATGACAATGAAAATGGAAACAGGGGGAAAAGCAGTAAAATTCAACTCTTGTTTCATGGTAGAAGCACGGAAGAGTGGCTTAAACGATGGAGGACTGATCATGGTGTATAAAAGTTCTATACGCCCATACCTCCTTTGAAACATACTTAACTCCTCCACACAACCCAAAATTATTGCAGGATGGATGAGCACTGTTTCTGGCCTAGATGCCAACTGGACAAACTCAAACAGCATTAGTGAAGGAAAATGGGGAAAGAAGGGAGAAAAGAAGAAAGAGGAAAAAGGAGGAAGAAGCCAATTATCCTCGGTGAAATGTTTAACCAAAAACAAAGAAGACTTGCTCAAAAGAGATGGGCAATGCTTTATATGCAAAGAACAAGGATATATCTCACAATTCTGTCCAGAAAAGAAGAAAGGAAAACAACCAGACCAAAGAATTAGGATGGCAGAAGTTGCAGAAAAGGATGAAACAGAAACAGTGGTGGAAGATGGAAAAGGAATTTCTCACATCCTCAAAATGTGGAGAGAACTCAATGAAGCAGACCAAGCCAGCGCCATTGATGGATTGGAAAAGGAGGGTTTTTGAAAGGACAATCCACCCCAATGTTAGTACCGTCCAAAATAGCCGTTGTAACCATAGCCACGATCAATTCAAACTTGTTATGAATTAATACCACATTGCGACAAAAAACCATTGGAACAAAAGCATTAATAGACTCGGGGGCGACAGATGACTTCATGGACGCAAAACGATCAAGCATCGCTTACCACTCAACAAACTTGAAATGCCCATCACATGCAAAAATGTGGATGGAACCATCAGTAATGGAGGGAAAATCAATCACTACACCTATCAACAAATAGAAGCAGGAGGAAGGAATGCCATGTGCAAATTCCTTATCACTGGATTAGGAAAAGAAGATATTCTCCTTGGATACCCATGGCTCCACAAGGTTAACCCCACAATAGACTGGACGTCAAAAAGCGTAGACACCCAATAGGCCATTCGCACAATCCGATCACACTCTAACTGATCCTTGATTTGCACCATCCCGATTGAGCAACTGGAACTATTGATCAACTATGTACACAAAACACGTATTTTTGCGAAAACTAACACTGCAATGGAACTAGCCATCCAGAACAATATTGGGAAAAAGATAATAGAACTACCTGAAACCTACAAAGAGTTTGCACAGGTCTTTGACTTGCAAGGTCACTCAATGCCCTATTAGAAAAAGGGAAGAGTTGGAACTGGACAACAGTTGAAGAAAACGCATTTGTACTACTCAAACACCGTTTTAGTAAAGTGCCAGTCACCCAGATACCGGACCCAAACAAACCATCCCAAAGTGCGGCGGATGCATTCAAACACGCAACTGGAGCGGTTTTGAACCAACCCAATGACAATGGAGTATGGCATCCATGTGCTTTTTTCTCCAAAACGCTATCCCCAGCTGAAAAGAACTACCAAATATACAACAAAGAACTGCTTGCCGTCATCAGAGGACTAGAAGAATAGAAACATTACATTCTAAGCAGTGCCCACACCGTAAAAATATTAACCAATCACAAGAATCTCACATATTGGCAAGAAGCCAAAAAATTGACACCTTGGCAAAGACGTTGGCAACTTCTACTCTCACAGTACAACTATACCCTAACCTCCTGTACCTGGAACACAAATGACAATTCCAGACAACCTTTCTAGAAGACCAGATTTATATACAGAAGCAGGGGGGCACAACACACCTCTACTCCCAAAAACTGTTTTTGCCACAGTAGCAAACACCAACCCATTTTTCACACGTATACAAACCAACTTACATGAAGGAATCAAATTACCGATGCACTCGGATCCCAAGGATTGGACCATCAAAATGATGACGTGTTTTACAAAGGACACTATTACATTCTCACAACAACCGAGAGAAAAGCATGTATACAACAACAACACAATTTGGTGACAGCCAGACATCCAATTAGTAACAAGGCATTACTATTGGCCAGGTATGACACAAATGATCAAAGATTACATGATAGGATGTGCAATATGCTAACAAAGCAAAGCAATTACAAACCCAATCAAAACACCCATCCAACCAATTTTGGGCCCAAATACTACAGAACCACTCAAAAACCTCTCAGTTGACTTCATCACAGATCTACCAGAAAGCAACTCATATGACAGTCTCATGGTTGTGGTGGACCACAGCCTTACAAAGGGGGTAATACTAGCACCTTGCACAGAAACTATTGATGCATTAGGAACGGCTAAATCATTTCATCAACACGTGTTCAAAAGATTTGGACTACACAATAAACTCATATCCAATAGAGGACCGCAGTTTGCATCAGATGTTACCAAAGAACTAGCCAGATTACTCAAAACCAAAGTCAATCTATCAACAGCATATCACCTCTAATTGGATGGAGAAACCAAAAGGGTGAACCAGGAGATAGAAATATACTTACAAATTTTCTACAACAACTTAACACACACTTGGACAGAATATCTCACAATGGCAGAATTCTGCCACAATAATAGACCACATTTGGCACGAAACAAATCACCATTTTACCTCATAATGGGATACCATCCTAGAGATCTCCCCATAACGCCAATAACAACTAACATACCGGCAGTAAGCAAAAGGCTATCCAACCTACTTGAAACAAGGACCATAGTGTTACAAGCCCACAAACTGGCAAGAGCACGCATGCAAAAATACTCACAACATCTGTTACCCACATTTACAATCAGACAAAATGTTTGGTTAGAAGCAACTAACCTAAAGAAAAAGGGAACACCTTACCGAAAGTTCAATTGGAAACAAGAAGGACCCTTTGTTGTTCTCAAAAAAGTGTCACCGGTTAACTACTGACTAAAACTCCCAGACACGTAGAAAATCCATCCCGTGTTTCATGCCACTTTTCTAACCCCATACAAACAAATCAAAGTCCACGGAGAAAACTACATAAGACCACTGGCAGAGATAATCAATGATCAAGAAGAATATGAAATAGAAGCTGTAACAACCAAGAGTTAGTTACTCTGGTGCACAACTCAGACAAGCAAAAAGGGAGTACCAATCAACAGTATGTGTTCAATTGAGAACTTCTGGGAAGTGTCTAGCCACTTGCTGAGAGCTAACAGGGACAGAACTAGAGTTCAGTATGAGTAACTAAAGAATAGGAATACTGGACTCTGCAATACTAGTCCGAAGTTTTGTAAACAAAGGTAAACAAATCAGCCACAAAGGCAAAATTATAGAATGCTCAGTGAATACTGAACAATACAGCAAAAAGAATAAAGAGGAAAGTGATTTAGAAAGAAGGGAAAATAGATAGCACAACTAGGTGCAGAATCACCAAAACTAACACTCCCCCCTGATGCTACACCTCCCAAGCATTAGCTCCCCCCTGATCTAACAAGTCCCATCATCTGTCTGAACATGTCAACTTTAGGCTTAGCCAGAGCCTTGGTCAACAAATCAGCAGGCATTTCAGCAGTGGGCACAAAGGTGGGAGCAATTTGGCCAGAGCCAACAATATCTTTCAACCAATGCCAGCGTAAATCAAGGTGCTTCATTTGACCATGGTGTTCAGGATTCTTGGACACAGAGATGGCAGATTAGTTGTCAATGTGAAGGATGGAAGGAGAGGTGATAGGATAACCCATTTCCTTCAGCAGATTTCGCATCCAGCAGATCTCCTTGCCAGCTTCAACAGCTGCAATATATTCTGCCTCAGTGGTGGAAAGAGCAACAATGCTTTGAAGTTTGGAACTCCAAGAGACAGCACCAGATCCAATCTTGACAAGGTAAGCACCAGTAGAACGTCCAGAGTCCTTGTCACCACCATGATCAGCATCAGAAAAAGTGGTGAAGAGTTCAGTGGAATTAGGATCAGGGCCAAGGACAAGTGAGTGATTGAGGGTGCCTTGCAAGTAGCGGAATAAGTGCTTGACAGCACCCCTGTGAGTGGGCCCAGGATTGGAATTGAATCTGGCAAGAACTCCAACAGTATAGGTAATGTCAGGACGAGTGGTGGTGGCCAAATACATCAGAGCACCAACAGCAGCAAGATAGGGAATGTCCTTCATCAGTTGCACTTCTTCTGGTGTCTTGGGAGACATATCCTTGGTGAGGCGTGAACCAGGGTCCATTGGAGTGGACACAGGCTTGCAGTCCTTCATGCCAAAGCGCTCCAGAATGTCCAGAGTGTACTGATGTTGGGAGAGGGTGATGGTGTGATTGCTGAGGTCTCTGGTGATGGAAATGCCAAGTAGGTAGGAAGTAGGGCCAAGATCACGAAGTTTGAAGTGCTGAGAGAGGTCCTTGACCACCTAGGCATTCACCCCAGAAGATATTAGGAAATCCAGACTCTGAAAGCATGGTAGTGATTCTTTCAGAGAGAAGCCTGTTTGCTCTTTCTGCAACTCCATTCTGCTGAGGCCTATTCCGGGTGGTATGCTGTCTGACAATGCCATGATCATCTGTGAATTGCTCAAACTCCTTGGAGATGTACTCTCCCCCTTTGTCATCGCGCAGAGCCTTGATTTTTCGCTCTAATTGAGTCTCAGCATAAGCCTTGAAACTCTTGAAAGCATTAAAGACATCTGACTTGGCCTTCAAAGGGACAACAACACGAAATCGAGTGTAATCATCGATGAAGGTGACCCAATATCGATACCCAGAGAATAAAGGGGAGGAGACTTGGTGTACATCAGGGTGAATGAGGTCTAAAGGGTGAGCAGAGCGATGAGAAGATGAAGGGAATGGGTTGGCAGACATTTTTCCAGACAGATATGGTTCACAGATAGGATCAGGAGTAGATTTAGACTCAAGTGTCATTCCAGTAACAAGCTTTCCTTGTGTCAATTTCTTGACATCAGCATAGTGGTGGTGAGCCAATCTTCGATGCCAAAGGTTTAAGTCAAGTGGAATTGTTGCAGAAAAGTGTCCCAATTCAACACAAGAAACAGTGGATTCATCAAGGAATGCAGCATTATTGTTGTTGATGGTTGCAGTGAATAAGAGAGTGTTGCCACGTATGAAGGACATAGATTGAGATGAAATGATGACTTTAAAACCACTTTGACGAGTTAAGTACAAGACTGAGAGGAGATTATTTCGAAGATCTGGTACATGCAGCACTCTGGAGAATTCTACAGCCCTTGATTCCTTGCCATTGATGATAGGGTTAAACACCACAGTACCAATACCAGCTGAATAAACAACAGTATGATCTGCTAGCTTTTGTGAGGCAACAATAAACTATAACAAAAACGAAACCTGTCTCCTTCTGCACTTGCAGGGAGTAAGGGGTTTAATGAGCTTGAGGTCGACAGACGCTAGTAAATATAGCGAATAGAGGACTTTGAGAGGTAAGCTTCAAAGGTTTTTGTTGAGGAGTAAAGCGGGTAAATTCAGTAATAGAAAATTAAGGAGCCATACATGAATAGGTAAGGCTTTATATAGTGAACTGTTCGTTCCTCAGACCGAAAGAAGAATATACAAAAAGTGGTCTGAGGAATCAATCGGCCAATAAGAAAAAAAGAGAACAACTATTGTACGACTTTTA